GCTGCCGAGATCAGGTACGTTTCCCCAGTCTCATGCTATCTTTCGACAGGCGTGGTTGGCTCGTGTGTTCTTTCTTGTAGTACGGAATATTATGCGATGGATGGAGTGGGAGATGCAACCAGGGTATCGGCGAGGACATAGCTTAAAAGAAGAGAGGGGCAGTGTAGTGCTTTGTTTATGTGACCACATGGTGTTTTGCGGTCAGCTTAGAACTTTTCTGACCCTCAGCCATCCTCTGGGTCCAGTTGCACTATCGTCTTCAAAATGCATGTATCCAATTGCACTTACTAACCTATTTTACCAGCCAGAAATTCTTGGGACACTACACAGCTATATAATGCCGTGCATGGAATCATGAAGAACAAAGTATTAGCGGATATAAATTAAATACAATAATAAATAAAATGAATATAGCTTATTTCCAGCTCCTTATTTCACCACAAGAAAAAGGTGAAAGTTAAATCTCGGCGATGGTCTGTCGAGCGAATTTCTTACAAACGTTAAAATGGGTCCTCCGCTCAAGCTGCTGCTGTAGTTGCTAAAATATTACGTGGTTTACGTGGTTTAAATTTTACTGTGTTACTTTTCTTTGTTTTAATGATTAGTTTCACAGAATTTGCAAAACTATAGTGTTTCCGCTCTTTTCGACACCCGGTCAGTTTGAATCCTAGCTGATAGGTGTTAACTCTAGTGTGAGTTGCTTATCTGTTTGCCTACACAATGGCCTGCGTTCTGTGTCAACTGATGTGCCTTTAACTCATTTTTCCCATAGCTGAGACTGCTTCTGTGTCCGAATAAAGAAAATTTTTATCGGATGAAATTTAAAAATTCCATCCTACGTTTTGTAGCTAATGTATGGTGTTTTTGGGTTTGTAGATTGTTTTCCTTCATGGCAGGTTTATAAACTGCTTTATGTCATAAACGTCTTTAATTCTTTTTCTTGCTCGAAAGTGATATTTGGTAACGCTTCAAAGGTTCGAAATGGGGGGAGAACCGAATGGTCGCGTTCAGATGGAGAAGACAATCGGACTGGTGCAAGGTATTAACGTCATCATTGGCTCAATGATCGGCTCTGGTATCTTCGTCAGTCCCACAGGCATTCTGGCTAGTGTGAAGAGCGTGGGTGCCAGCCTGATTCTTTGGGTTGCCTGCGGTCTATTCTCCCTTCTGGGCGCGTATTGTTACGCAGAGTTGGGCACTTTGATTCATCGGTCGGGCGCCGATTACTCCTACATTTTGGAAGCCTTCGGCCCTTTTTTTGGTTTTTTGCGCATGTGGGTTGAGGTCATCGTTGTACGGCCGGCGACTATCGCTGTTATTGCTATGACCTTTGCCAAGTACACTCTGCAGCCAATCTTTCCCGATTGTCCACAGCCGGATATGGCTGTCAGACTCCTTGGCGCTGCATGTATTCGTATGTTTTCTGACTGTGCATTTTCTGTTTCTGTTAGTTACTTATGATTGTTTTCCGTTTTAGTCATAATTACATACATAAACTGTTATTCCACTCGCCTCTCTACTCGGGTTCAGGATGTCTTTACCTATGGCAAACTCCTGGCAATAATAATGATAATCATCACTGGTTTTGTTCAAATTGGATTTGGTATGTGGCTTGTGACGCCTTTGTTGCATTAAGTGTCATCCTTACTAAGTACCCTTTGATAAAACTGGGAATTGTTTTAAGGTCGCGTGGAGGCATTCAGTAGTCCCTTTGAAGGCTCAGACTGGAGCTTGGGTGGTATTGCCACTGGCTTTTACTCAGGTCTCTTTGCTTATGCTGGCTGGAACTACCTAAATTGTATGATAGAGGAGATGAAAAATCCTAAACGCGATTTGCCAATCGCTATTGTTTTCTCTTGCCTCGTTGTGACCGCCGCTTATACCCTATGCAACGTCGCCTACTTCACGACTGTTGATGTCCACGAAATTCTCATAACACCTGCCGTCGCTGTGGTACGTTCCCTTGTAAAGTCGTTAGCAAGCTGCAATGTTTCCTTGTCTTCAGAACCCGGTTCATATCGATATCAACATTTGGAGGTTATAATCCAGGCACGTAATTGGGCTTATAATCTGTCGCTATCCACCGTGACTTTGCAGCTCAATATCCCCGATTTACTCGATATTAAGCCAATTGATGTCTACAAGCGGATGACTACGGCCTGCGCTACAGCAGTATAAGGTGAACGAAGACCAGCCATGCTTGAAGATGGGTCGTGATTACGTGTGTTTTCATGATTTGCGCGCGCATTCCCCTTATTGATTGGTGTAATTGGAGAATGCGCGTGTACGCGCGTGTTTTTTACTACCCTCTTGTCGAATTAGCCTGCAGCGTTGGTAGGGTGCACGTGTCAATCTAA